AGCAGGGCCATTCCGCTGCTGCGGCCGCAGCCGCGGGGAGGAGGCCGGCGGCGATGAGGAGGGCGAGGGTATGCAGAGGCAGCTGCGCACGAATGAGTGCGCGTGTGTGGATATCACGGCCGCGGCGACGAAACCTCCTAAAGTTAATGGCCCCCCACCCGTCCCCCTCAACGCATCCCCTGGCCCCCAGTCGGCCGCGCACGTTCCTCGGGCCACGATGCCTCCCTCTTCCCGCCCCTTCCCCCCCCTTCGGCGCACCCGAGTCGGGGCCAGGAGGTGGTCTGCACCGTCCCGCGGCCCGGGGCGGCGGCGGCCAGGGTTACGTCGGGCCTGTCCCACTACAGGGCGATTTTCGACGAAAAATAGAAAATACCCAAAAATAACAAAAAAATTATACAAAAATCGTCTGGGGACAATTGTTTGAGTATTTTCTGCCCTTGTGGGGGGTATTTTTTGGGTATTTCTTGTTTTTCGTCGACAATCCCCCTGTAGGGGGGCAGGCCCGACAGAAGGCCAGGGTCCTGCGGCGGCGTGCAGGTTCTGCCCGCCGTGTCGCGGGGATGTCAGCCACGCGCAGAGGGGGGTGGGGGGAGGGGGGAAGGCTTCTTAGAAGGACCCCTGCTTCTTCGAAGGCGCGGGCCTTGTCTGTAAATGTAAGGCCCACGGCTTCTAAGAAGCAGCCTCCTTCTAAGAAGCCCTCCCCCCTCCCCCCACCCCCTTGCGCCGCCAAGGATGGGCCAGGGAGGTCTCGGTGCTGGCGGTTGCACCGCCGCGGCCGGGGTGTGCCTTGAAGGTCGGGTCGCGGCGCGCCTCGGCAAGCACGCCGCGGGCCTGGGGCGAGGAGGGGGGGGGAGGGGGGAGGGGGTAGGGGGGGGTACGAGAGGAGGGTGAGGAGAAAATAAGTTCAGTTTACAGCCGTATTTTCCGTTGAAGAATCAGCAGCAAATTTGCTTCAGCAATAAGAGAAGAAGTCGTGTTTTCATAAGAAGAGAGCTCAGCAAGATGTCAAAACAGTTACCGGCATGTTATTTGTTTCCAGCGGTACTCAAGATTGACGGTTACCGCCGGTTCCAAGTAGGGCAAGCAGGGCGGGGGGGGACGATTTGAAAGGAGGGGGGGAGGAGGGAGGGGAGGGGGTGAGGGTACGAAGTCTGCTGCACGCCGCTGGTGCAGGCCCCGCCGCCAGGCGCTTCCGTCGATACAGGGGCGCCTCTGGCGCCTGGAGGCGCTGGGGAAATCAGCTGCGTGATCTGTCGGGAGCCTTGAGACGGGGGTCCAATGCAAACGGAGGTCAGCCAGGGCGCCAGATCTCGCAGGATCCTGCAGGGCCAGGGTCGCACCGACCCGGGCTTGGGCGCAGGATCCTGCAGGATCTTGCAGGAGCCTTCGCGTTGACCCGGGCTTGGGTGCAGGATCCTGCAGGATCCTGTACAGTCGGGGCCCTGAAGACGGAACCCTTTTCGTTGGGGAGGGGCTCCGTGCTCCTTGATTGTTTCGCAGCTTGCCTTAGATGTTCCGCCGGGCTTCGATACGACATCGAAGTTCCACTTGTGGCAAAGAGGGGCCTCGCTCCTTATGTAGGGTTCCTCAGGTCAACGCCCCGACTGCAGGGCCTGACGGACACGGGTCTGCACTGACCCGGGTCAGGAGAAATCCCCGAGTCTCATCCGCGGACCCCCGCACCGACCCGGGCTTGGGCGCAGGATCCTGCAGGATCCTGCAGGAGCCTTGGCGTTGACCCGGGCGTGGGTGCGGGATCCTGCAGGAGCCCGCAGGGCCTGGCTGGCACGGGCCTGCACTGACCCGGGTCGGGAGAAATCCCCGGGTCTCATTCGCCCGACGCCCCCCCCGCCTGCGGGCCGCCCCCCCGTCGTCCGACCTCGGCGCGGAGAGCTTCATTGTCCTCGGGCCATGGCGGAGCGTCTCGGCCCGCCGGTAATGAGGCCCGCCAGCGAGGGTTCTGCAGGGGCGGGCGCGCACCAGGAAGCCATCTGCGTTTCGCCAGGGTGCTCCAGATTTCGTCACAAAAGGGAGGGGGTCTGGGCCCTCCAAGACAAGCCATTTCAGACCTCCCCCGTGGGAGAGCCCTCCGAAACATCGTCCCCAGACCCCCCAGGCCCTCCAAGATAGCCTGGAAGAGACCCCCCCCGAAATGAAACCCCCCTCCCTTTATTACGAAATCTGGAGTATCCTGGGCTTCTTCGCTCCGCGCGCCGCGCGGTGGCTTCCCGCGGCCGGGGAAGGAGCGGCTGCGTTCAGGGTGCTCCGGGTTTCCCCTCATGTGCACCTCGCGCGCGGGTTTTCAGGGTTGGGTTTCTTGCGAGGGTGTCTTGCGGCCGCGCCCGTATTGTAAGAATTGTTTGTGGTTTGCGCCAGATGGTCTTGGTTGAGACTGTCTTGATTCAATAAGTTGGTTTTACGTTCTGGGATCACTGCTGGAAGATTTCGTGGTAGGCCTCTTAGGAATGCCAGGACGGTCGATCCCTGCTCAACTATTTCTGAGGGGGAGGAGGAGGAGGAGGAGGAGGAGGAGGAGGAGGAGGAGGAGTTGGAGTTGGAGGAGGAGGAGGAGTTGGAGGAGGAGGAGCCCGGAGGCGCGCTTCGGGCAGCAGAGCCGTCGAACGTATTTGGCCCGCCTTGGAAAACATTGAAGGCTTGGACATGAGCACGAGCACCAACGCATGGGGTTGCCTCCACAGGGGGACGATGATCGGTGTTGGTGGTAATATTTCGATCACCTTGGGAGCCAGAATATGACCACCATCACCGAGATCGGCATCTTGTTCCCTCGGTGCAGGCGCCTGTATTGGTGCTGGTGTCAACCGCTAGGCCCGCGAAAACACGCACCCCCTTGGAGCGGGCTCGAGTCCTCCGGGGGCCCGCGCCACACGCAGAAGAAGACGACGTCGGCTGCGTGGCACTGGCACCGACACCTCTGTGGAGTCTCTTCCGGCGCCCTGGTCGCCATGGTTCGGGCCGAACGTGAGGGCGGGCTTGGGAAAGGGGGGGGGTACGATATCTGCTGCATGCAGCTGGTTTCGGCTCCGCCGCTGGGCCCATTCCTGGATGCATGGGCGCCCGCGCTGGGAAGATCAGCTGCGTGAGCTGACTCTCTGCCCTGCTCTTTGCGATCCCCCCCGTTGGTTCCCCCCGGATGGTCGGATCCCTCTCTCGGGCGGGCCTGGGACCAGGGCAAATCGTTCCAGGAGCAGCGCCGACTCGCGTGGGATGGGGCATTTTACTTACTGCTTCTGAATGGTCATGTGGACCGGCTTTCCCTTGCCTTTTCCGAAGCTCTTGACCTCTGAGAGAGTGAGAACAAAGAAACATGCAGGCTTCTGCGGAACCTTCCGCCCTGCGAGCCTATTGGAGGCCTCCCGAAGCCATCCTGGAGCCCTCCTGCGGGACCTTGCGGGCCCACCTGAAGCAGGCCTCGAGGCCGTCGGGTCTCCGAGTGAGCTCGCCCCGTGGGAGCCCGAAGCCTCGTCTCTCGGACCCCCTCTCGGGACGCTGCTGCAGCGCCACTGGGGGCCTGCGCGGCTGTCCTGGGGCCCGTCTTGGGGACCCGCTTGGGGCGCTCCTGGGCGATCCTTGAGCTATCCCGAAGCCTCACAAGCCCATCGGGAAAAGAAGGCGAGACGGCCTAAAGAGTTGTATCCTTGCGATGCCCTGGCGCCAGTCGAGACGGGCGTTCTAGCTGCAGCCAGAGCGCTGACATGAGGACCACTCTGAGCTTAGGAGGGGCTCTGAATCTCTGGCCGTTCCTGAAGTTTGTGTCGGGGGATCTGTTCGTGGCCGAGGCTCGCCGTGGCCAGCAAAGCCCCCTCGTTCCTTAATTGACGTTCCTCATGGCAGCGCGTCGACTTTACCCAGGACGCCTCTCTTCCACGTCCACACCCAGAGGGAGGGGATAGGGAGAAGGGCCACGAGCTGCCTCGCTCACTCCCAACCCGCCCTCCCAGCATGCGAGCGGTACCAGGGGCTCGGCCCAGGCAGAGGCCGCTACCTGTGTCGGATGGACCGCCATCGGGAACCAAGACGGACGCCGGTTACACGACGCTCGCGAGGTGCGCCACGCGTGCCAGGGGCCGGGGGCTCAAGCGCGCCGCCAAGTGCGTCGCATGCTCCAGCGGGGTCGGAAGAGAATGCCCGCTGTACCACTTCAGCCCACAGGGCCGGTGGGACTTTTTTTGTCGACGCACGCGTAACTCAGTGGGAATCGGGGAACGAGAGAGAGAGAGAGAGAGAGCGAGAGAAAGAGAGAAAGAGAACAAGAGAGAGACAGAGACAGAGAGAGGGAGAGCGAGAGAAAGATATAGAGGGCAGAGAAAGTTATGCAGGCAAGAGCCCCTGAGAGCGCCGTAGGCTGCTCAGGGCCTTCGGCGGCCTTCGCACCCAGTAGAAGGGAGAGACATCCAAGGAGGAGACAGCGGGATACGAAGCAGTTCGGGATATCACAGTCCAGCGACCAGTCTTGGAAACGGGGCGGACACGCAGGGTCGCCTGGCGTCATGTTGCAATAGTTCGGCACTGTCAACAGCATCTTGCACTGCAGCGCAGCCTGTGGCTGTTCTGACGATGCCGAGCACGTTGCGGCTGTAGGTTTTGCTTTGAATCACTTGTAGCAGCAGTCATGGTACCACTCCCATAGAAGGGAAAGGATGGAGTTGGAGGGATCCCTCGGATCTGGCCAGGGTTTGCCAGCCCCCGCGCCGCAGGATATCTTCGTTCAAGGGCGCCGACAGAGCGTCCAAGGCCGTCAGCTTCCTCAGGACTGATACCAGCCGCTCCGGTGAGCGACACGACACGCTGAGCATCACAAGCATGATACTGCTCATCGTCTCTCCCTGGAAGTCCTCATCGATCTTCCCGTGCTCTGCGGTCTGGCATGCGACCTTCAGGATCCGGACTGCAGTCAACCCGCATGGTAAGGATGCGCGACGTTCCAAGGCTACCCTTGCAACCCTGCCCCTTCGGCGCATACTTTTCGACTTTCGCTGACAATCCTCGTTCGAAAAGCATTAACATGGCCCTCCAAGTTCTTTGCATCCTTAAAGCGTATCCTTATGAAACGAGGTGATTGTAGTCTTGCTCGATGGGTTTCGGCTCAACCCGCCACCGTGTCTTGGTCATGGACGAGATGCCTCTCGGATGCCCCCTGGGGTAAATGTTCTGGATGGACTTTCGGCACCTTGGAGGCCTCACGGGATGAGGGGGGGGCCACCTGTGAGATTGGATCCATATTGGAAGGGATGCCTGCCCCGTCCTGGCTGAGGCGCTTTTTTGGGTGCCCCTCTTGGAGCCGTCTTGAAGGCCTCTTCAGCCTCTTTCGGGAGCATGCGGGGCTGTCTTGGGACGGGTTCGGGAACTTCTTGGGCAGTCTTGGACACTCTTTAGACCGAAAAGCCCAGTTGCTGAAACCTGCTCCTCGCGGCATATGGCCCCCACAAGGGGGGGCCAGCGGATCTCTATCTTACTCCCTCTGCTACCGGGCTTGAATGTTGGCGAGTCCATTGTGTATGACCGCGGTGAGTCAAAGAGGTAATGAATTAGTGTGCTTGCTTGTGTGTACTTATATTTTATCGCTTCGCTCATTCCGCTGGCCCATTTCGGATCACCGTTGCTGCGTGGTGGTGTTCTCGTGCCTTTGGGGGCCTCTTTGGGGCCTCATGGCCGCTCTTGAGGCTCTTGGGAGGCCCTGAGGGCGGCGCACATGAGCAGAACCATCTCTGATAGGAAATTGCTGGGGACCTGCCCGGGACCTGCTCGGAGTATTTGTCGGCCGCCCTGACATCTCGCGGACCCCCCAAAAAAGCCCAGGGGAGGGATAAGGGGAGTGGTAAACCCCTCCCCATAGGGGAAGAGGGGTCTTTTGGACGAGGGAAGAGGAATCTCGTTAGACCACTTGTCGCACAACGGGCTGGTGGGATTTCTGGCCCCCCCCCTGCTGACCCCCCTCCTCGCCCCGCCCCCCGCCCCCCCTGGAGGGAGCCCTGATCGCGGCAGCCCGCACGCCCGGACAAGGGCTGGGATTGCCCACGGAGACTTGTCCCCCGACGGGACGAGTCAGCCCAGTCCTCAGGAGGACACCTGCCGACCAGGCCACCCCTCCACGACGGACGACGGCACCGCGCCGCGCCCAGACCCGCACGGCACAGCCTCCGCGCCCCCCGCCGCCGGCCAATTCTCGGAGGGGGCTGCGCAGGCAACCCACGTGCCCACGACCCCCGAAGGCGGCCACCCTGCGGGAGACGGACGCCGCAGCCGCGAAAGCCCGGCGTCGCCCCAGCCGGGCGACACCACGGCCGCCCGCGGCCATGCCGCCACCGTCGGTCGGGCACCCGGGAGCGAAGACGCACGACGGCCAGGGTCGCGGCGCTCCGGCGTTCCGTCCGCCGCCCTCCGGCAGTAACTGCCCCGGGTGCGCCTTCTCGGGGCACTATCGCTTTGGTGCTTCCCCCGACGTCGTCATCCCGGGGCGCCTTGCCTGGGGGCCAGAGCTAGGGGAACAAGAGAAAACTCGGAGGTCCGCGCGGATTTCTCGGATCGGCGCTGGACCCCCTTTCCTGGCGCGCGAAGCGCGCCAGGGGCGGCGCCGGAGGCGCCGCTGGGGGGCCCCAGCGCCGATCCGAGAAATCCGCGCGGACCTCCGAGTTGTTATGTTTATGCCATTTTCTGTTTCCCTTAAGAGTGAAGGGAGGTCCAATGGCTCCGCAGAACCATGGCCACGTTGGGCGGGCGTTTCGTCGCCTGGTCCCTACACGGTCGTGACGTCCCGGTCAGGAACGGGGGATGGATGTTTCCCCCGTTTGGTTTCCTTGCTTGGCACTCCGCTGCACTACGGGCTGCGGCAGAGCTTGAACCAGCCTCTCCCGACAGTCCAGAGACGTGGGCAAGACAGAGGAGCCTGGCCGCCATGCATCTCTACGCTGCTGCTCTCGCAGCGGCGCGATGCAACTCTGAGGCCCGACCTCTCCTGGACGGCAGCATTGATGTCAGACCAAACGTACACGACAATGGGATCCACGCTGCTCTGCACGAAGACCACACTACGGGCGCGCTAGTCAACATCATACTCCGCAACGGTGACCAAGGCCGCGCTCGCTTCTCTCACCTCGACACCGTGCTCCGGTGGGCCCACTGTCAAGCCGGAGTGCCACCACCCCCCAATGACCGCCCGAACCGCCGCAGAACGGGGACAGAGCCAACGAAGATGACCACAGCCGCTACCCGCTATGGCCTCTCAGACCCCCGCCTCCCGCTGCCCTGGGCCGCGGTTTCCTCGCGCCAGCGCCGCGGCGCCAGACCTGCGGCGCGCGGGTGATGCAGGGCCCGACCCCTGGCGCACGCACTGCATGCGTGCGCCTGCGGCGCCCCTTCTCGGGGGTGGACAGAACCAGCTCGGCCTCCGGTCCGCGACGTCGACCAGCTCGGCGACGACATACTCTCTACCATTTGACGGGTGCCACGAGCCGCTGCGCTCCCAGTGGCCACTGCTCCTACTCTCGGGGGTGGACAGAACCCCCAACAGTGACACGTCGATTAGTGAATTGTCCGTTTTCGGTTCTCGAGAGGGCGCCGTGGCCGTCATTTTCCAGGCCTGCGCCCGCCAGGTTTGGGCCTCAGGTCGTTTTCACCAAACCACGTTCTACTAAAGGGGGGTCTGTCCAACCCCGATACTCCCGCAGGCGCTAGGAGGACGAGGCGCCCCTGCTGCCGCCCGCGGGAGTGCGCTCCTTTGTCGGAGTCGGATGGTTCCGACGGATCTCCTGGCAGTCCTGCGCTTGCTGCTTCTGGGAGTGACCAGGCACCCTCCCCTGAGATCCTGGCGAGTTTTTTTTTTTTGTTTTAGCCCGGCAGTTTCGCGCAGCTGCGGGCCCCAGGGCCTTCACTGGTCGATCCGCCACGAAAAACGGTGCAACAAAAAGAAGGTCTAGGGCTCCAGGCGCGATTTTTCTCGGCGTCTCAATTGTTTGAGACGTCGGATCTCAGGGTCATCCTTGCGAGAGGAAGGAAAGGGAGGAGGAAGCAGGAGAGAAACTGCAGGAGTCAAGCAGTGGCGAAGCGTCCTGGCGTGCCGATGGGCTCTAGGAACCTTTTGTGGCATCCACGGGATATTCTTAGAACATTTCTGACTGGGACTGCCTTGTTTTACCACATCGGGCTTATGTTCTAAGAACCTTGGTTTCTGTGTTCTCAAAACTGGTTAGGGGCTCTGAGAACATGTCGTGGTAGGTCTATAGGGATGCCGGGACGGTCGGCCCCCGCCCGGGGGAGGCGGGGAGCACGGAGGGGGACACGACGACCGCGGCGACGGCGAGCGCGCGGGGCGTCGGGGCAGGGCGCGGGGCGCAGCGCGCATAGGCCGGGAGGCTGGCGCCGCCCCCGCCCCCGCCGCGCAGGAGGAACTCCAGGAACTCGGTGGGCTCCGACGACGGCCCGCTGGCGGAGCTGCCGAGGCTGCCGCCCCGCGCGCGCGCGCCGCGGGGGGGATACCGCTCTCCTCGGCGCCGCCCGCGCGTGCGTCTCGCCACCTCCACGGGCCCGGAGGTCCCCCCCCTCCCCTGGAGGAGGAGGAGGAGGAGGAGGAGGAGGAGGAGGAGGAGGAGGAGGAGAGGGGAGGAGGAGGAGGAGGAGGAGGAGGAGGAGGGGGAGGAGGGCAGGCGGGGGGGTGGGTTGTCTTTTCTTTAGCGGCGCTGATGTCAGCATCGAACTTCGCCGTATGTCGTAGCGCAGGAGGTGGAATATTTGGGGTTGGTCGGGGCGCCGCCGTCGGCGGCGTTGGGGCTTGCCCGCGCCCTTTGTCCTTCTCCCTTTCCTTTCCCCGTGCATGCTGCACTGTGGTAGACACCATGGACATGTCGTCTTTCAGGAGAGTGCGCAGGAAGAGGTGGAGGAGGAGGAGGAGGAGGAGGAGGAGATGGAGTTCGGGTCCCAGGGCTCACAGGTGGACCCCAGCTGGAGCCAATAGTTGACATTCTTCAGAAGCTCAGGACCTCGGAGAGGTTCACGGTAGCGGCAGGTCTAACAGGAGTTGCGGTTGGAGGCTACCCGACCCAGCTCACGTTGTACGATGATCGCAGGGGGTATCGCAGGGTGATCGACCCCCTCTGTCAGCTTTGCAGTGAACGCCTCGGCACTCCTGTTCACCGATGATAGTGTTGCTCAGCTCATGCGTATGCTCGCAAATATTTTGATGTTGACGAGCTGCTCGAGCTCGACTACACGCCATGTGGCAAGATGATGGTGTCTCGTGCGCTGGCTGAGAGTCCCGAGTGGCAATGGCCGTCACTGTACACCCGAGCTGGCTTCAAGTGGGATGTGTTCCTCCCTGGAGGGTGCCTTGGGCCACGTGCTTGCCTAGATGGGTCTGGTCTGGACCCCGATATCCCGCAGATTTCCCGAGCGGGCTGGGCTGTTGTCTCGGTGTCTCAGGACTCTTGGGGAGGATATGTGACCTTTGCCGCATGCGGTGCAGACCTGTGGATGTGACGAGGTATATTTTTCCCTGCTGTGTCTCCGACTTGCGGGTCCCGAGTGCATGGAAGTGGTTGCCGACTGTAAAGCCGTCCTGGATACTCGGGGCCTTGGGGCGGAGCAAGATCTTGAGAAGGTTGCGTGCTCAGAGCTCGGAAGGAGATCGTTGAGCGGGCAAGCGGAGAGGATCTGAGAGCGTCGGCCCCTCTAAGACTAAGACTCATAGTGTCCCTGGCCGCGTCCCGCAGGTTAGGTGCTGATGACTGGAGACGGTTGGAGGCAAGAGTGCCGACGAGCTGGCCCCTCTGGGGGCCCAGGCGCAGGCCCGCAATCCTTGGACCCGTGAGAGATATGGGGCTGCGGTGCCCTCGTCTCGGCAGTCGGATGGCTGACTGCTGACACCGTGGACGATTCAGCCGCGAAGGTTCGGTCGGGACTGTCCCTCTACAGGGGCTAGATTCAGACATGGGTAGAAAATAGTCTTGGGACGAGGTGTCTAGCGTCTTGTTGATTCGGCTGGCGTATGTTTTTGGGTATGTTCCATGTTCCATGTTCCGCCCAACATCCGCCTGTAGGGGGACATGCCCCACGTAACGCTAAGGATCTCCCCCGATGTCTCTACCGGCCCCGCCGGGCCAAGCCCAACCTGATTGAGCCCGTGCCCGGCCCGAGGAGCCACGCAGTCGAGAAGGCAGCCAAAGGATCGCACATGTGCGTGTGCTTGCGCTGCAGCGGGCGAGGGAAGACTCGAGCCGCAGCGAGCGTCTTCCCCTTCGGTCCTGGCATCGCTCGGACGTGTGCATTGTTTCCCTCGGCGAGGACCATGGAGGAGCATCCTGCAGCATCGAGCAAACAAAAACACGCACGAAGCCGAACAATGCGCAGGGAGTGGACGTCCCAGCGATGGCAAGCGGTGGGCCGCCCAGGACGGCGCGGGCCAGCCACGCCTCCCACCCGATCTGGCCGATGGGAGGCGAGGTCGCTCGGTGTGCTTGCCGCGGTGCGTTCGGCGGCTCCCGTGCCCGGCCGTGCCTCCCCTCCGGATGCCACCGTGGCCCTCGCAGTCGCCACGCAGGGGAGAGCGCAGTAATGTGGAAGCGCGGGGTGGGCCCCAGCGCGAACAAGTACAGTGGGGGCCCCTCCCAAGAGACCATCAGCTTCCCTCCAGGGTGCCCTGGGTTTCTTGGATTCCGACGGAGTCACGATTGAAAACGTGGCGCTCGCATGCCTGAGAACCAAAGGGCGTCCTCGGGTTTCAGGGTTGGGTTTCTTGCGGAGGTTTCTTGTGGCCGAGCCCCGACTGTATGTTGGAGGCCGGTTCCTTTGGTCTGACATTCGTCTGCCTGGGCGTCCCAGGAGGCTGGATAATTGCCAGACTTGAATCGCTTCGTCCCAGTATTGTTGTTCGGCATTCCATTGCAGGCTTCGCCAGCGGTAACAGAGCGCATGAGAACCAAACGGAACCAAAAGATGGAGGAGGAGGAGGACCAGTGAAAACCCAAGAGTCATCAACGAGGTTTGAATACACCCTGCTTCCAAGCTCCCTCTTCATAGGCCCTTACAACGGTTCATTTCCACAGGGGACTGCCTCGTTGAAAGACAACCGTTTGAAGACTCTGGGGCATGCCAGAACAGTGTTATCGGGATTTCATCGTCACAGATCAACCTGACTGTTGCGTCCCGACGAGCTCGAATCACACCAGAATACCAGTCCTAGGACATCGGCACCGCGAATCAACGTAATTGTTTGCGCTCTCATAGTCCTGAACCCGTCCTAACAATCATTTCTGGTACGCTGATCATGGGAATCCGTCAAACGTTTGTAAACTTTACGTATGTGCGCGGCGCTAAGTCGAGAGCTACAGTTTGATGAGGAACCGCCCTGATTATTTGAAGCTCTGGCAGTTTTCTAAAACGAACGTGTTTGAACACCACCCGCCCTGAATCCGTGAAACTTCTGCAATGTTTTAGAATGAATGCGAGCGGTGCTGAGGCGATAGCCACAGTAAAAAAACGGCCCGTCCTCAATCCGTGAAGTTCGTACAATTTGTTTAAAGGGAAAATAGAAAAAATATCCTGGCGAAGGACCCAACCATATGCAATTGTGAATACTGCAATTGTGAATATCTTCTCGGTGGAGCCCCCTACGGGGCCACGAAACGTACGAGGGGTGTGCCGAAATGGGTGTGCGGGACGCATGCGGGCACACCCACTGGGGCCTTCGGTGGAGCTCTCTATGGGGCCAAGAAACGTGTGAGGGGTGTGCCGAAATGGGTGTGCGGGACGCATGCGGGCACACCCATTGGGACCTTCGGCGGAGCTCCCTATGGGGCCACGGAACGCGTGAGGGGCGTGCCGAAATGGGTGTGGCTGACGCATGCGGGCGCGGGCACTGGGGCCTTCGGCGGAGCTCCCTATGGGGCCACGAAACGTGTGAGGGGTGTGCCGAAATGGGTGTGGCCGCATGCGGGCGCGGGCACTGGGGCCTTCGGTGGAGCTCCCTATGGAGCCACGAAGCGTGTGAGGGGTGTGCCGAAATGGGTGTGGGTGACGCATGCGGGCGCGGGCACTGGGGCCTTCGGTGGAGCTCCCTATGGAGCCACGAAACGTGTGAGGGGTGTGCCGAAATGGGTGTGGGTGACGCATGCGGGCGCGCGGGCACTGGGGCCTTCGGCGGAGCTCCCTATGGAGCCACGAAACGTGTGAGGGGTGTGCCGAAATGGGTGTGGGTGACGCATGCGGGCGCGGGCACTGGGGCCTTCGGTGGAGCTCTTGGAGCCACGTGTGAGGGGTGTGCCGAAATGGGTGTGGGTGACGCATGCGGGCGCGGGCATTGGGGCCTTCGGTGGATGGAGCTCCCTATGGAGAGGGGTGTGAGGGGTGTGCCGAAATGGGTGTGGGTGACGCATGCGGGCGCGGGCACTGGGGCCTTCGGTGGAGCTCCCTATGGAGCCACGAAACGTGTGAGGGGTGTGCCGAAATGGGTGTGGGTGACGCATGCGGGCGCGGGCACTGGGGCCTTCGGTGGAGCTCCCTATGGAGCCACGAAACGTGTGAGGGGTGTGCCGAAATGGGTGTGGGTGACGCATGCGGGCGGGCACTGGGGCCTTCGGTGGAGCTGGGGCCACGAAACGTGTGAGGGGTGTGCCGAAATGGGTGTGGGGACGCATGCGGCCCCACTGGGGCCTTCGGTGGAGCTCCCTATGGAGCCACGAAACGTGTGAGGGGTGTGCCGAAATGGGTGTGGGGACGCATGCGGCGGCGGGCACTGGGGCCTTCGGTGGAGCTCCCTATGGAGCCACGAAACGTGTGAGGGGTGTGCCGAAATGGGTGTGGGGACGCATGCGGATGGGGCCTTCGGTGGAGCTCCCTATGGAGCCACGAAGCGTGTGAGGGGTGTGAGGGGTGTGCCGAATTGGGTGTGGGTGACGCATGCGGGCGCGGGTATTGGGGCCTTCGGTGGAGCTCCTATGGGGCTACGAAACGCTGTACTGGGTGGGTGAAACGCAGGGAAGAGGGGGAGGAGGGAGGAGGAGGGAGGAGGAGGGGGAGGAGGAGGAGAGGAGAGGAGAGGAGAGGAGAGGAGACGCGGGGCACCGTCTCTTCAAAACGAGGACCCAACACCACAGGATGGTTGGGAAAAACACAAAATCACGGCGCTAAGGCGAGAGTCACAGTTTGAAAACGGCCCGCCCACCCACCATTTGTGAAATTGCTGTCAATTGTTAAGCTTCTGGGCCGTAAATGGTGAGGAAGTGTTAGGCGAACCGCCGAGGCCGCCCTGAAAGCTGGCCTCGGGGTGCGACGATGATAATTTATGCATATATATATATATATAGATACGCATGTGTATATAGATATACACATACATACATACATCTACATGGGTGAACGAGTAGCTGGTGCCCCTCTCGCTACTCTCTCTTTCTCTCTCTCTCTCTCTCTCTCTCTCTCTCTATATATATATATATACACACTCCATCCTCGCGGTCGTGGAGGTGCGTCG